GGCAACGTTGACGTCAAGATTCAGTATCCATTATTGTCAAAGTGTCACCCGTTGGAGGCAATTATGGTAATTTTGAGAAAGACTGTAAATAGTACTTTGAGTTTCTGCTGCTCTTCAAACAGAAATGGCTTTGATGGTTTCTGAGGCAGTTCTGTTTTGATACTAATTTGTTGTTTTTGAGTAGATGGAAGATTGATTCAACTTCATTTTGATTTTCACCGTGATTTGGATATTTTTTCATTGGATATTTAAAGGTCCTGTATTACTGGTACACAAAATGGACTCTTGTGAGCTTTAAGCCATGTTATAATGTTGCTATCCCCTCAAAAACATACCAAGACTTGTGTTTTGTAACCCTTTATTATTATTCTGTCTACATCTCCAAAACTCAAAATGCAATATTCCACCTTGTGATGTCATGTATTGGTAGTTTTCAGGTTATCAGCTACGTTTTACCTTTTTTTTTTTCAATAGAGATTGGAAATTCCAGGGCTGAAATGATCCAAATGATTCTAGTGAAGGTGTATGGAGTTTAAAAACACAGTGGAGTCCTTCCAAAATTGTCTCTAAATAATAAAATATAAATGTTTACAAAATGCTAATGAGAGTCACACAATGTACATTAAACAAAAGTGGGAAACAGAATTGCAACTTGAATTGTCAGAGGATGATTGGCACTCTATATGTTTTTCACAGCACACTTCCACCTGCTCAAGACGATGGAGAGAATTTGGTTGGAAAAGCCTGGTGAGGTATTTTATTACTCCACACATCAAAAACAAGCAATTGAAAACCCCTCAGTATTGCTGGAGATGTTGTGGTGAGTGGAGCGCCAGTCATTCTCATGTGTTTTGGAAATGTATTAACATTAAATCCTTTTGGAAAAATATTGCAATTTTAATGGAAGAGGTATTTGGCTATAAAATTCCCAATGACCCACGTGTTATGTACTTGGGCTTGTTGCATGAAAACGACATTCAAACTACTTTTATTTGTTTAAAGTGATGCTCTTGGTTAGTAAGAAACTAATAACAAGGAATTGGCTGAAGGAGGATGACTCTTTAAACTTACAGCAATGGACAGATATAATGGAGGAAATTTATGGGATGGAAAAAATGGTGAAAGTAAAAGTAAAAAACACAAACAAAAAGTGGAGCACTTCCTGTATTACAACATGACATCACAGAGTGAAAAACCCAACATAAATTTGCACGGTTTGTGTGTTAAACATGTGCGAATGAAACAAAACACAACTCCAGATATGATGAAACAACATTATAACACTAGGATAAAGAGTAATACAGGCCTTTTAAAGTTATATTATGTAACTTTTATAATGCCACCTGTTTGTCTCCTCATTACTGCATTGCCTGAAATGTTCCACTGTATTTCTCATATCTGTCACCACGGAGACCAGCAGATGGCAAGCTCATTCACCGTTAAACCTGTACTTGAATACATTAAACCCATACTGTGGAACATTCCAGACAAAGCAATCTCCATGGAGACAAGCTGATGGCGCTATTAATTATTCCTTTTCTTATAAAGACCATTGCTGTCAGTGTCATTTGTGTTTTACGTGCAGCCAGTCCTTCCTTCCAGAACATTCAGGGAAACATTCAAATCAAGTTAAACCTGTTGTCACAAGTTTAGGTTAATTGCAGTGACATTTGAAAAGGTTTCTATTTTAAACTGCAAAAGTAAAGAGATAAAACTGAGCAGCAAATTGAAAATTCAAATACAATACAATGACAATGCAGTTAATTAAGTTACGTAATTTCCTTGATAAACAACAACAACATATCCTTTGTTATTCTGTTTAAGACTGTTTTAACACTCTAGTTTTGCTCTCAAACATGTTCAGATTTTTTTATTTATAGGAGTCCTCCTTTCAAATGTTACAGGTACTATATTATGCAAATCTGACTATTTTGAGCTTTAAGCCATGTTGGAATGTTGTTACCTCCCCAGAAACAGACCTGGAGTTGTTTTGTTTCATTCACACATGTTTGAGTAACACTTTATTAGTAGTCTGTTTACATCTCCAAAGCTTAAAATACTCTGTTCCACCTTGTGATGTCATGAAGCGGTAGTAGAGATTGGCAGTTCCAGGAATTAAATCATCCAAATGATTATAGTAAAGGTGGATAAATTTAAAAACACAGTGGAACATTTCCTGTGTGGTGTTTTGCCATGACTGAAGATTGTAAGTGTTTTTTTGTCATGAATGAGGCCCTGTAGGTGATGTTTTGTCACGAATGAGGTCCTGTAGGTGATGTTTTGTCACGAATGAGGTCCTGTATGTGGTGTTTTGTCATGACTGAAGTCCTATATGTGGTGGTTTGTCACAAATGAGGCCCTGTAGGTGGTGTTTTTTCATGACTGAGGTCCTGTATGTGGTGTTTTGTCACAACTGAGGTCCTGTAGGTCTTGTTTTGTCACAACTGAGGTCCTGTATGTGGTGTTTTGTCACAACTGAGGTCCTGTATGTGGTGTTTTGTCATGACTGAGGTCCTGTAGGTGGTGTTTTGTCATGACTGAGGTCCTGTAGGTGGTGTTTTGTCATGAATGAGGTCCTGTAGGTGGTGTTTTTTCATGACTGAGGTCCTGTATGTGGTGTTTTGTCACAACTGAGGTCCTGTAGGTCTTGTTTTGTCACAACTGAGGTCCTGTATGTGGTGTTTTGTCACAACTGAGGTCCTGTATGTGGTGTTTTGTCATGACTGAGGTCCTGTAGGTGGTGTTTTGTCATGACTGAGGTCCTGTAGGTGGTGTTTTGTCACGACTGAGGTCCTGTAGGTGGTGTTTTGTCATGAATGAGGTCCTGTAGGTGGTGTTTTGTCACGACTGAGGTCCTGTAGGTGGTATTTGTCATGAATGAGGTCTTGTAGGTGATGTTTATTGTGAATGAGGTCTTGTAGGTGGTGTTTTGTCATGACTGAGGTCCTGTAGATGGTGTTTTGTTCTGAATGAGGTTCTGTAGGTGGTGTTTTTCATGATTGAGGTCCTGTAGGTGATGTTTTGTCATGACTGAGGTCCTGTAGGTGGTGTTTTGTCTTGAATGAGGTCTTGTTGGTGGTGTTTTTTCATGAATGAGGTCTTATTGATGGTGTTTTGTCATGACTGGTTTGTGATGAGGAAATAACATAATAAAATAGATCAGAAAATAGCATAACATGGGCCCTTTAAGGTTCCTGAAAGTGTATTATTTTAAACATAATTCTACCGTTAAAAACAAAAATCACAAATTTATTCGCAACCACAATTCACAAGTAAATATTATTTCAAAATTGTTCTGCCCAAGTTAAAGTTTATTCTATTGTACACACACGTTCCTCTTGTTTTGCAATACATCAAAAAGACATAACTCAAGCAACAATTTGTCTTGTTCTTGTAAGACAAATGAAGATAAACATTTGCAGAGGAACCTCAAAGACTTGTTAAATGTCAGACAACAGCCACAGTGTGCTGACTAATCCCGACTATGAGCTGGGTAAACAAAGAGGTCAAAGGTAAGACCGGGTTAGGAAGCTGCTGAGCGTTGTGTGTGTGGGGCTGGGGTGAGAGAGCCGTGACCCTGACTCAAAGACAGGCACGTTCACTTTAAGCTATTTCTACATCAGGCGAAAGCAAAGTGAAAGTGAAGTACCAGGATGTGACCCCATTGACTTGTACAGGTGGAGCTGAAATCTGGGGCACTTTTTCTCTAATAAATGAGAGGTTTTAATTTAGACTCTAGTGTCTATGCAACTTCAGCTTCATTTATAGCTTTTACTATTGTGGAAAATAAATTAACTACAAATTACTATGTTTTGTACTATAAATACGATATGCACACAGGCCTTAGTCTTATGAAAACTTAAAAATGTTATTTATGATAACAGTGTCAAACATGTATCTTTAAACAAGAATCTTAGACAAACTTTATTGATTCACAAGGAAAATTATTTGGACACAGTAGCTCACACATCACAATGAAATATAATAACAAAGAGCAAAAATATAAATGGTAAAAAAAATAATAATAATAAAAATTTGCAAAAATAACAAGAGAATGGTGTCAAATACGGCATAATTATAATTGTAAAGTAAAAAAATAAATTGTAAATTGTAAAAAGAAAATATTTTTTTTTTAAATTGTAAGTACAACTGTAAGTAAAAAAAAAAAAAAGCTCTAAGTTCCATTGTCCATTGTATGCATAAGGCCTTTCACCCACTCATGGTCTCACAACACAACCTTTACTGGAAAAAAATAAATATATATTTTATTCTAATTTATAACAATACATAGTGCATTTATTATTTGTTTAGCCCAGTAAAAAATAAATTATATCATTGTTTTTATTTTTTTTTATTGTTATTACTATGACTTTTATTAATTTATTTGTATGTATTTTTTCATTACTGTTATTTATTGTAGCTATTCTTTCCATAAAAAGAGAATACATATATTTGTATGCACGCCACGTTATCTCGTTATGTCCACATTTTGCATCATCCATTAAAAAAAAAAAAGAAAGAAAAAAAAAGAGAAAGAAATCCACTGTGCATCGCCTATTCCTCCCATCGCCTCAAATATTTGTAATCTGGCCCAGTCATAAATGCACTCCAGGCATTGGCACCTTCCCCTACAACAAACACTATTACTACTACTATTACTACTCCTACTCCTACTACTACTACCACTACTACTGTACGCACGGCGCTGTTGCCTGACGCCATCCAAAAACGAGGTTGTCTACTCCAATGTCAGTGACAAAAGGAGGGAGGCGTGAGCGCATGGAGCAAACGGCATGATCCCCGAGCGGCCATGGAGTCAATAAATAAGCAAAGGCGAGAAGAGGAGCCCGCCAAACATGTGCCCGACCTGAGCATCCGTGCGTGCTTTGCAGTGGTGGTCCTGTAGAGAGCGGTATAGTTTTTAATACGAGCTTCCCTCAGCCCTTACTGTACATATGCGGAGGGAGGAGCGATCGTGTAGTAGTTTTTTTTTGCCTGGTTCCCCCTGTCGTTGCAGCACATCCAAATGCTACTGAAGACAGGAAAAAGGGGGACAAACTATTGCTTTTAACAGGTTTCTCGGACGCGTAGGACTGCGGCTGGCACGGTTGGACGCGGGGGTTATTTGACGGTACGAGGCGCAGCGGCTTCCTTGGCGGTATAGGAGGGATCGGACGAGCTTGCCTTGCCTGCCCGCTTGCCTGGTGTGGACCTATAGCCAGCTACACTTGTGCACAACCCCGAGAGGAGAGGAGGGGAGGGAGAGTCGTGCTAACTTTCTCCCCGCTTGCCGCCTCATATCTCCGCTGTGATATTCCATACGGCCAGACTGGGGCCAGACCGCTAAACCTACGGTGAGTGATTGGGTTTATTTTGACGGTCCAGCGTACGTGCACTAGTTTTTTGGCAGCAGTGTTAGCCTTTCTGTGTAGCTTGTGCGCTGTTGGTTTGACAGATCAGATCAAGGAGATTCACGAGCGGGCATACACGCTCGGCGCACGGGCACGGGGGGAGGCTGCCTTTCTAATCTTAGCCGTTTCGCCACTATTGTTGACGCATCCCGCTGCTTGGTGATCACTGTCAATTACACAGCAATAATAAGAGTCGCTAGCCGTGCTTTTTTGCGGCTAATGTGATTGTGCTGGTCCTGCGTCCAGGCCCCGAACTTGGATTTACGCCTGCTGCACCGTGGCGCGCTCCCTGGGCAGTCCAATCACGCATGCTCACGTGCACGCCGATCATACAGACACAGGGTAAAATAAACGGATCGATAGTTATCAGCAGAAGCAATAGACTCGTAATGTGCGGGCTGTGGGGACGCTCGGTACGCGCTGCCGTGGCCATAATTTACCCTACAACGTGGTTCATTTAAAGTGCATTGGCTCGAAACTTTTATTCATGAGCTGGTCCGTCAGGAATATATGTGCATTGTTGCTTGCACACGCGCGAGGAATATGCACGGCTTGTTGTGTGACTTGCATTGTGAAGCATTGCGCGGATTACAATGGCTATAGTGTAATTACCCCGCCGTTTATATCAGCCTCTCTGTGGTACAATGCATGTCGTTGAGTGACAATGGTATCTGTCCAACTATAGCATGCACCCTTAGCTGCAACGTGGGAAATTCCTAGTGTAGCTTAGATATTCCCCGTTAGGTCCAGTTGTTGTCTATTACGCACGGGCAGGTAGAAACTGACAGCCTGAAAGTAAGCTACTATTTCACTGGCGTTTTAAGGTGTCTATTTAATGTACTGGATTGTGAGTGTAGTCCTGGCCACAAGTCAAAGGCAGCATTAGTTAAGCAGTCGTCTCAGCAGGATTGTAGAGTACTAAAAGGAAAAAAAAAACAATTGACTGAAAGCTATCCGTACACCCTGACAAGAGAGGCTGACAATATAATCTTTTCCCCCCATGTGAAAATCCCACAGAGGACAAAGCAGGGCAAGATGACTACAGATTACAGCATATTACGGTAACATGGACTTGAACGCCCCAGCAGCTGTCTATGTGTAAACGCGCCCGTCGCCTCTTTCCTTTAGTGCAATAATTAAATCACTCACTAGAATCGCTCGTAGCTCAAAGGCTCCCGGGGTCCTGATGCCCAGTCACTTTCATTTCACAGTTTGCGTCTTGCAGCGCGCTGATAGCGAATGACAGTTCCAAGAGCAATTTGGCGCAATGTTTTCAAGGCATGGAAGCGTTTATCTAACAGATTTTAGCTCATGGTGCTAATAAAAACAGTTGTGCAAAAGTTGGTCTGAAAGTACAGTTAACTACATATTTCCTGTTATGAAGTAATGGGTCAGTTGTACTTCATTCGGTGTTTCCATTTTGGTTGAGATCCAGATAATTATTTTGGATTGAGATGTGGCCTAATGATTCCAACTGCACTGCAAAAATCCTACAGCTGAATTTAGTGTAAGCTTTGGCACATTTATTATCATATTAGAGGATATTATACCTTGGGGGTGATATGGAAAAAAAAAAAAAATGGCTTTGGTCTTAAGTAGGAATGTAGCAATAACCGAAAAATTGTGATATCGTATCGTCAAAGTTCTCATAATAATATCGTGGACCATCACAATATATCAAATTTGCTTAAATGAAGAGTTATGGTTCAGCAATAGCTAAAAAAAGACAGAGGGAACTACATAGACCATGATCCTTTGCTCCATTTCAATGTAGACTACAAGAAGAAATAACAGTTCTTAAACACTTTTAAGTCTTAGTTCTTTGGATTAAGTCTTGTCAAGACATTTTAAGAGGAAAAAGTCGCTTATTAACATTTTTTGCTGTTTAGCCTCCACAAAATATCGCAATAAATATCGTACCGTGAGATGTATATCGTGAAAATATCATACATAGAGAGAGATTTGGATATTGTTACATCCCTAATCATGAGCTTTCCCAAGATATCACAATAAATATCGTATTGTGAGGTTCATATCGTGACGAAACTTGGATATCGTTACACCCCTAGTCTTAAAGGTTCTATTTCTATATTGTGCAAAATTGACTCTTGTGAGCTTTAAGCCATGTACCTCCTCAAAAACATACCTGGAGTTGTGTTTCATTCCCACATGTTGGCGTAGCCCTTTATTATCAGTCTGTCTACACCTCTTAAGCTCAAAATGCTCTGTTCCACATTGTGATGTCATGAAGCAGTATTTTCAAGCTGCCTTTTAGCTTCTGTTCAGTAGAGATTGGCAATTCTAAGCGTGAAATAATCCAAATTATAATTGTATGGAGTTTAAAAACACAGTGGAGCACTTCTTGTGTTACCGCGTGACATCACAAGGTGGAACAGCGTGTTCAAACAGAGTGTTTTCCGAACTCAGCCTGACAGAGTTTGTGGTGTGAATGAAACAAAAACACAACCTGAAGTATGTTTTCACAACACAGATCTGAAAATAGCCTAATACGGGCTCTCAAATGTGAAATAAACACGGCCTTCTTGAATAGTACGTGTCGTTACTATGATACAACACGTTTTATATAGGACCCCAGTTGGAAGTCCATAGTATCAGGCAGGACCGGCTACATGTAAGTCATATCAGCTCGCCTGGCACTGGATACCCATTATTCATTAATGATTAGCTACCAGTTTAAATCTCAATGTTCTCTCCGCCAAGTTGATTATTAGCCAAATGCACCATCTAGCTATAACTAAATGCATTGACTTGTGCGCTGGTCTATTTTGAAACCTGCATGTTTAAGCCTTGGGTACACTTTGCATCCTTTACCCAGCCAGCACCGAAAGAAATAGAAACAACCACTGAGAATGTTTTGAGCAAGAAAACGAAACACGAGAATCTTTTTTCTTAGATTGCAATTTATGTTTTAGTAATAGAATTTTGTTCAAAGTTCACATTTTTAACGCGTCCAAGAGAATTGACAAAAATACCGAAATAGGCTTAAGGACTGACATACTTGGACAAGAATAACATGAATTTCAGGACATGTTTGTACAGCTCTAAACTGCATGATTAACTGTTTTCATGGAGAAAAAGACAGAATATTTTTGTTTGTAGAGGAAATTACTAGGGATGTAACAATAACTGAAATATCGTATCTTCAAAGTTCTCAACCATATCGTGGACCATCACAGTATATCGAATTACAAGTCTCTTTGCTTAAATTAAGAGTTATGGTGCAGCGATAAATAAAAAAAGACACAGGGAACTACATAGACCATGATCCTTTGCTCTATTTCAGTGTAGACTATATGAAGAAATAACAGTTTTAAACACTTTTAAGTCTTGTCAAGGCATTTTAAGAGGAAAAAATAGTTCTGTTAGCCTTCACAAAATATCGCAATAAATATCGTACCGTGACATGTATATCGTGAAAAACTCATACCGAGAGATTTGGATATTGCCTCTCCAAAATATCTTGAGCTTTCCCACGATTTCGCACCGTGAAGTTCATACCGTGACGATATCGTATCATGAAACTTGGATATCGTTACACCCCTAGAAATGACGTTACTTCAAAAATCGCACCATTCAGATTGTAGAATGATTGCGATCAACCGTGCAAAAGAGCTTTTTAACGTTGCTATGTTACTTCGAGTTTATTCATATAGTCCATTTAAAGCTGACCATAGAGATTCGTCCAGTAAAACCCCAAGAATTCCCGTCTAGCCTGTAACAAGAAACACCAGTGATGTAGCAGAATCTCAATGCCGGTTAGCCTATAGCCCCATGTGATCTGTTGGCTAGGCTGCGCGCTCGCTGGTATTGCATGTATTCGGCGTGGGGCTCCTTTAGGGGAGGGAGCAGAGGTGACCTTACACAGTCTGTCCCTGCAGAGTGCACCCCTATGGGCCCCTCTTTTTGTGACCCTGGTTCTGTCTCTCTCCATTCTTCCTTTGCCTCCTGTGAACCCCCCCCTCCCCTCCCTCCCTCCGTCTCTCTCTCTCTCTCTCCTCTCTCCTCCCCTTCTCTCCTCCCCCCGCCCCCTCCGCTCTATCTGCCCCTCCTATTCCCTATGGTGAAGTAATGCGCTGAATGCACAGACACATAGACTTATATAACATCGGGGTTTTGCAGCTGATGTCCTGGCCAGTGTCTTGAGCTGTATAATAATGTCATAACTGTCTACAGAAAGCCAAAGGTTATACTGGGTAGGCTATACCATGTCAAGTGCCCTATTTCTTATCTGTGTTTATTCACTGTTCACTCACTACTTTGTCCTCGCTCGCAACCATTCTTTAGGAAGATAAATTACAGATGAGGTAGCCCCTTTTGGTTTTCCAGTAGATTCCTTCCATTTGAGTAGCATGTTTTTACCCATACGTTGAACCAAATATGTCAAGCTCAAAGTATAAATTAAAAAATTCTTGGCTGTTCAACTTGTGGTGTTATTGAAAGACAGAAGAAAAGCAGTCCAACGCAAACATAGCTAATATCCATGCAGCGTTTTGTTATTAAAACATGTTTGGCGGTTGCAGTAATGCCTGATTTGTTGTGAAATGAAGTACAAAATACATAGAAAAGTACACTTAGTTTTTACTTTTACATCACATTCAGATTTATTTTCGTAAGTACTTTGAAAAACTGAGTTGAGTTTCTTGTCTTTAAAATTGAAAAGTAAGTTTTGTATGCTTTGGTTTAGCAATAAATGCACATTAGACAGGAGTACATTTAATGCCATACTTTGAAACATTTCATCACCATGGAAACCCCCCGCAGACCCCCATGTTTTAAAAAAAAAAGCCTATCACTGTATTATATTTTTAAAACCAGACTTCATATTTTTTCTTGTAAATCACTGGTGTATAGTTAGTTTTGGCCACTTATGAATTTTTACTTTTTACACGAGTCAAGATTTATTATTTTAAAGTACCATAACT